TGTCGGGTAGCCTCAAATACTGCGCTCTGATTGGTCGAAATCCGATTGAGAAAAATAATCAGTGTTAAATTGCATTGAATTGTCAGTAAAATCTGAAATTTCATGATTTTTCTCCCCTTAAAACACATTCAGTGTCACTGTCCTGAAAATTCAAGAATATATTTACCAGAATTTTCTGGTTTTCTATTCCTTTTCAGGGAGAAATGGAATGGAAATCAACAGTTCTGTTTGATTTTTCCACGAAATTCTGAATTTTCAATGCCAAGATTTTCTGAAATTTCAGTGGAACACGATAACAATTTTTACGGAATTTGGCACGAAAATTCAGACAAAATTTTTTAACAGGGTATGAACTCATATGAATTATGTGTACAGCAGCAATGCTTTGAAGCATCACCGACCTTCTTGTTTCAACCGTAATTTCTGAAATTTTTGCGAGATATGCACCGAGACTGTAAATCATCTTCCTTAAATTAAGTTTCCAAGAGTCTTCCACTGAAAGTTTGTGTTTGCAGAGGACGCTGATATATAATACTAGTGTCCCAAGGCTCGCATAAAGCTTCAGCGATCCATAAACCCGCGGTTCTTGAATAGAGGGTAGAGAAGAGTGAGGGACATCATACGAGGTGACTAAATTATTTTACGGGACGACGATCGTCCTCCAGTGAGACCAAGCGATGCTCACGCAAAATGAGGTTCTCCCGCACATACTGTGAGAACATTGGATGCGTACACAGAAGCCGACAGGAGGGCTTTTTGAGGCCAAGTGGCGGACCAACATCGTCTCCGTACGCGGCGTGTTAATTAAATTAGTAGGTACCCGCATTGTTCCCACTTGGCTAATTCACTGAAATGATGTTTAATTATTCTTTCTCTTATTTTTCTTAATGGAGAAAATTTTTCTTTTTCCTTCAGTGCACTTATTTCGACTAACCCGAGGAAGACGCAATGTCTCGAATGGTAGGGATGATCATCCCAGTCCTGGCAATATCCTTAATGGAAATTAATGAGATTATCGAGGCGGATAAGAAGGCAAAGTGCAGAGATCTCGTTATCGATACTGTCTGATTTATGAATTCAGTACAGGGAATATATTTCCTCTTTGATCTCAACTCAACTCTCCGAGTGAATGTTTTAAAGAAATTCTTACCATCGTATCCATTAGAGTATACACGGAGAGAAATGTACGAGAAAAATTATCGTGCTCGCACAGTAAAGTTGGTTCAGATGGTCTTTCCAGGCGAAATGTACCGCAAAGAGTAGGAAAAAGTACTGTTGCACGAGTCATTTTTCGGATAAGTGCGGGGAAAAATTCTTGTGCAGCACGGTAAAATCGAAGCGACAGTTAATTTTTACGAGAAATACGAGAAAAATTATGACACTGGCTGGCAAATTTTTCCGGTGCTCTACCAGAATCCTAGGACCCGATCGCGCATTCGTAAGATTTCGGCACTCTTCCCCCCTCTGCAACCACGAACATCAACTCAACGTGACCAGATAATTTATTCCGTCGCCTCCTCTAGCCTCCTCTCTCACATATCTCCTTACTGAAACCCCAGGTTAATGTTTTTCATAATATCAATTCAGTGAAATATTAATTAGTGTTGTGATAAAACGGTTAAGAAATAAAATAAGTGCCCTTTATTTTCGCTTCATGAGGTGTATAACGCTGTAGATATACATTGGCCTGTCAAACGTTCCACATACGTTTGCCGCGCATTCCGCTTTTAATATGGGAGAGAGGATATGGAGGAGAGGTTAAAATAAAATTAATAGGATGGTATGCTGAATAACAATGTTTACTCATTTTTAATTATTGAATGTAATGTATCATGTAATAGAAAACAGTCAGGGATCAAGCTTTTATTGTGCGTTACCGGAATTTTTACTATGCAGCACCGGAATTTTTCTGGTGCTAGACAATTGAACCCACTTTACCAGACGGCACGGTAATTTTTGCCTGACTTTCGCCTGAAAAATTCTGAAATTTTTTTCTCCGTGTACATTTCAAAAATAAATAAATATAGTTTTATGCATTATTGAAATATCTTACATGACGTTTCGGAAATTTAACGTTAAAATATATCTGGTTTCTGTGAATTCGATTCAATGGATAAATCCTTCTTTTATGGTAACTCAATTGTCCCAATACGGTGAATTAGAAAGAAATGTTACCGTCTGTAACCGAGATATTGTTTATTTGAATTTATCGAGGATTTTCTCGATTTCGTGGAACAGAGCCCCATCCTTACGGAGAACCCTATTCCCACTCCTAATCCCGATGCAAATATTGCAATTTAGCTCCTGATGAAATCCTCAATATCACAAGATTGTTTAATAATTGTAAATTTGAAAAGAAAATAAATGTTGGCTAAAGTTGCGATAGAATGAATTTATTTTAAATTATGAGAAGTCAACGAAAGAAATTCCTATTTTACCTACTCTAAGGGAAAGCGTGGAATCGCCATTTTTTTAGGTGTTTTCTGCGAAAAAGGTAAAGACATTGAATATTCATATTAGATTGGAAATTCAAATAAATTGATGAATTCTCTTCTTTATGCTGCTTAAAATTCTGCAATTTTACTGAATTTTCAGTGAAAACTGAAATTTCATTATTTTTTTCCCATAAATCACATCACTATCCTGAAAAATAGTAGTCAAGTGCCTATGAAATTTCATTTTTTTTCTAATAGTGTGGAACAATCCGTGAAAACGGTAAATTTCAGTTTAATTATTCCTGAAAAATTAACGGCAAATTGAGAGAAATCTCTCCTTGAATTCCAGATTTTGCTGAAATATCAGATAATTCCTTCGCAATTCCAGAAATTTGGAGAATTATTAAGAAATTCCCTGAAAGTTCAAGGGAATTTGGCAGTGAATATTCATTTTCGCTTGAAAATTCCTGTAAATTGCAGAATCTCCGTCTTCGTACCCCAAATTAATGGAGATTTTACTTGAATTTTCAGAGAAACTTGAAATTCCATTGACTTGTTCCCCATTCAATCGAATACTGTATCTTTTTTCACAAAACTCCGCCGAATTTTGTTAACAGTGTATAAAAAAAAATTTCAAGTCAATGAACATAAATTTCATGAATTATTGAAATATCGTAAATGACGATTTGAAAATTTGGCATACCTACTGCTCGGGTTTCCCGCATTAATAATGCTAATCGCAGGTGGTGTAGTATGTGCACCGACAACATTAATTATTCGTCATGGGTAGGGATTGTTTGGAACGGTAAACAATGAAACTCGAACGTGATTGCGCTCAAGTGCCCCCCTCCGCTCCTCCCATTCATAATTGTTGAAAACACCCGTATACAGGAGTATATACGAGTGCCGATATAATAATTAAAAGCGTTAAACTTGTCCCCCTACACCACTTCTCCACCCTCTTGAAACTCTGACTTAATCCAAAATAATTTCTGTTTCACTGGAAATAATTTGAGTTTCACTTTTAATTCACTCATTTTATTACCTCCTGTTATTCACTCTTTACGATCTTCCATGAAAATGACCGGAGGTATGTACAGGGTCGACCATAAACCCCTCGGGGGAGAGTGGCTTGAATTGAAAATGTTAAATGACAAAAAAAAGGTGAAATCATAACAGGTACATAAAGGTGGAAAGAAAAGCCAATGGCACACGTTGTTCATGGGTTGAGGCGATGGGGCGGATGGGGAGAGGAGGGGGAGAGTTGGTTCGTTAACGACGACCAGTGAGCACTTAACTCGGCATTACGAGCAAGCGGGCTTGCCGTCAGCATAACGGCATTTATCGCGTGTCACGGCGTACCAACGCTCACTTGTTCATACTATATTCCAGCAGACGACTCTCCAGCGCTTCCCTCTCGACCGTTAGTTACCACTGCGTGTACCTGCATCCATCCAATTCCCCCCGACTTCACCACTCTTTCATCTCCCACCACTGATTTCGTCTCAGGTAACACGCAATATTATCGCTCTGTGTACTGTGTTACGTCTGACATTATTACCCGCGTAGTATAACGAGCACAGTTTTACCTTTGTTTCTTCTCAAGCTCCCCTCCTCGCCCCTCGATGAAACTCCCGTTTATCTACTTTATTAGTACCAACATTATTTTTCCCCGCTCCTTGATACTCGCAACCTCCCTTTTACAATTTCTCTGTTGAGGAAGAGGCGGGGTGGGGTGAGAGGCAAGGCAATCGAGAGGAAGCTACGAGGACAGGGAGAAAAAAAACTACTACATTTCGTTTAATAATTAAGTACTAACGGAAGAGATGAGCAGACTCAAGTCCCTGATGTTACGTTACTATGCCCGGATGTACATACGATATAGAAGGTTGAATCTTATATACCTACACTGGGGAAAGGGGGTTTGCAATCTTAACCGCATGGCAATCTAAACTTTGTGAAGTCAATAGAATAGCATCCGGATGAGAGGCTTCCACGCCGGGGTCTTCGATTAGTTTTCGTTAAAGATAACTTTCTAGTCATGCCAAAAGGGGTCGCCGTGGTTGCTGAACGAAATGTTTTCTATAATGAATATACGCAGTAATAGTTATTTGTGTCATTCCGGCCGTAGGCAGAGATTCACGGACGCGGAGCGGAGCGTCCGTGAAGCGCTGCCTCACGGCCGGAATGACAAAAATAACTATTACTACGTATATTCATTATAGAAAACATTTCGTTCAGCAACCACGGCGACCCCTTTTGGCATGACTAGAAAGTTATCTTTAACGAAAACGCGGAGCCCCCCCCCCACTGAGGGGGGCGGAGCCCCCCCCACTGAAGAAAAACGATGAAACCAAATTTAAAAAATTACAAAAACAAGAAAATCTTTAAATCACTAAAAAAAGAAAAAATTAAAAAAGATTACAAAAATAAAAGAATCTTCATGACAAAAAAAAACAAAATCAAACAAATTAACAGAGATACAAAACGAAAGAATCTTCATGACTCAAAACATTTTTTATATTTTATTATGATGAAAATGCAAAATGTCTTTCGACTACAATCTCATCAATCTTCTTTTGAACTCATACGTCAACAATATAACTTATGAGTTAACCATCTTATGAATCTACTTTTCAACTCATAAGTAAACAATAGAACAATATAACTTATGAGTTAACAAAAAAAATAATGTAAAAACAATATGATAACGAAACTATTATGAATAATACTTAAACAATCCATGAAAGAATAATTTGGTAACTCGAATTTTTTGGTACGCAGATCATTCTTAATATCAAGATCAGAGCTTCTCGTCAATGGTTTCAATGTTAGCAATCCTTATTTCTCTAACCAATTTTCTTTGTTTTGAGGAGCAAAGATATTAAAGTTCGAGCAGTTTGCGAAATGTAGATGGATGCCTTGAGGTAGATTAGATTGGAGGATGTTGCCAATTTGTGGATTCTCCCTCAGTATTGTATCGTCCCTCGGAGGTGAAGCTTCCAAGACAGGTTCAGGATTGGGTTTTGGTCTCTTTGTAGTTTGGAGTATTTCTTCACGTGAAGTTGATGGAAGTGATGGATTGTATTGAGGAATTACTAGTGGGATCGATGGAAGCGTTCTTGTTACAGTGGCAGAGGCAGGCCTTTTGATCTGAATGGCATTAGTGATTTTAGTAGAGATTTTATTTCGTATTACATCTGTCTTCTCTACATATCCCTCTGGCGTTTTAGAGGACGACCAGCCTCCCAGTTTCTTTAGAGAAAGAAAGTCAAGTCCAGCTTCAGCTGCAACAGTTGCTCCTGAGCGCCTGAATGAGTGTCCGGTGTACTTCTCAGGGTTCGGGAGATTGAGAAAAGTGGCCATTTTTTTGGGGAAAGCTCCGATAGTGTGGATGCCAATCACTTGACGACGACACTTCCCATTTTGGTACTGTACGAAGAGGTTCCGCTCGCGAAGATCATGTGGTCTTAATGACAAATACTTCCTCACGATGTTGCAATACTCTCCTGTGAGGGAGAAGTCTCGATTTTTATTAAATTTCGTTTTGTCAAGAACGAAATTGAGGTACGTGCCATGGTCCTCAATGAGATCAATTGTTAATTGATGTAGCTCCTTCCTCCTGCATAAGCCATGGATGCCAACAATCAATGCCACCTAAAAGAAATTGAATTCAATAAATTCCACTGTGGTCATTTTAATCAAATTTTGATCAATCTTAACAATAGATGATCCTGAAAAAAAATCCCGAGATCTTTTTCATAACTGAAGAAATGTCTCGTGATATTTTCCCAGAATTATTCATTGTTCAGTTATTCATCATGATGAAATCCACTTATTTTTATTTATATTTACCTTCTCTGGCAGATAGACCTCTTCAGGGGCTTCATAAATGAATTTGGCTATTTCATTATCTGTCAGTACTTGGGCTTTTTTGGTTATGTGTGTAGAAGTCTTGAGTTGCCTGATAAAAAACCCCAGACTTTGGGGAACTTGTCAATCTGAATGGAATCATAGACCGACAAAGTTTTCTTCAGCATTGAGTAGATTGATTTGAGAGATCCAGGCACTAGTGAATGAGGTGGCTTTGACAACATGTGGAAGTAGCCGAGCAGGACGCGTTCGTCGATTGTTTGTATTTTTTTTTCCTTCAGAAAATTCTTGAATTTCTCGTAGGTTTTGTCGTAAATTAATTTGGAGGTTGGTGGCAGGAGATATGCTTCAGCATCTTTAGCATTTTGTAGAACATCGGGGAGAATGAAGGAAGGGTCGTCATTGGAGTTAGGTTGTGAGTCAGAGATATTTTGATAATCCAGAGAGGTGACTTGTGCTGTCATGCTTGATGGCATTTCAATTGTTATGAGACTCTCTTCATGGAACATGTCCTCTTGGGACATTAGTCTTGCAGGACTACGGTCGGTAATCAAGAGTTAACCGCCTTCGAAAACGACCCTAAAACGCCACCTATCGGGCCTGAATGACGAAAAGAAAATTACAAGAAAATGTCTCATTAGATGCGGGGCCACGAATGAGAATGAAAGAGGGAGAAAATGATTGTAGGGGAAATTGTATTGATTTGAAAATGGTTTGCCGTGAACAAACCTCACTCTCCTTTACCATCTCGCTTCCTCACCCGGTTTTTCTTTCATGAAAATATCGAATGAAAGCAATGGTAATTTCGCTAATCGTTTCCGATCGAATGGAGATCTCGTTGGTTCTCTCATCGCTCAATACGTAATTCCTTTTCCTTTCTACGTCGATTTATTTTACCTTTTAAGGTAGACAATTCCAAGATTTGCGCAGAGAGACGGGAATTACCATGCGAACCGTCTTCCTCTTCGTCTTCTTTACCCACACCCCCTTCTTCGGTTGATGCAAAAGAGTAAGAGGTAGGGGGTGGAGGTCTCCGTCAGAGTGAAATAATTTATTCGATGCCTTCTTCGGTAGATCCTCCTTTTATTCTTCTCTCTGTCGCCTTTTCCTTATTTTTTAAGTTTTTTCCCCCCTTCTTCTGAGTCGTATTCGTTGGTTCTACTTTCGACGCTTGTACTACGGGACTCGATCTTAAATGAAAATGATTTCCCAGGGGTTGAACATACAACCTACGGTTGAAGAGAAAAGGGTTTCATTCGTGGGCTTATCGTTCTTTCTTTTACTTTTTTAAATCTACTATGAATAATTTATTTTATTGATCCTGAGCGATTTATAATTTTTTGAAACGCATGCTTGGATAAGTCTATTTTCGTTTACAGGATTCATTTTTCGTTTATAACAGCTGACTTTCTACTTACAAGTTGGGATTAATCCTATGTCGCTGTTGGAAAGATGACGCTGTCGTTACTTTTTTGATCAATCCGGTGTCATTATTTCTGTAAATACGTCGATAGCTGAAAACGTCGGTCTAGTCGTCTCAACTGAATTGCATCAGCTATACGGTAGCCATGGCACGTTAGAGTTTTCTGCTATTAATTATTAATGATCTGAGTATTTTACGGGAAAAATGTGTGTATTCCGTACTTGCAAGTGCGAACAAATTACATTAAAAAATCTTGCGAATTGGCTAGAAAATTCAATTGGATTTTGATTTAATTTCCCATTAATTTTTGGCCGATTCTATCAATGATCTGAACTGAACGCTCAAGCACATAACGCCTACATAAGCCCGGTTGCCCGCTCCGCCTCGCCCCTCGGACGGACAGAGTTTAGTAGAATTTTCCGTTTAGAAATAGTTTCCGTTTGGTAGTAAAAAAATTATATGTGACTTTTCCAATAGTGATGCCGTCGAGACTACCCTGGTAAAACAGTCCGATTATTTCCGACTGGGTGATAAAAAATGAATCGGCGTTAATGATGGTTCTGTCTTTGCCCGTTAAATTCCGATTGGCTGGTAGATGGAGTTTGGAGTTTGAGAAAATTACGGGAATTAATAGGATCAAGGGTATGTGGCCGTTATCGTCCGATTACTTTCCAAAAAAGTGGTTGATAGATTCCATATATTGTTCATATAAATATTTAATATTTATTACTCATTTAAATATTTATATGCGTAATATGCGATCTATCAACGACTTTTTTGGAAAGTAATCGGACGATAACGGCCACATACCCTTGTTCCCATTAATTCCCATAATTTTCTCAAACTCCAAACTCTACCTACCAGCCAATCGGAATTTAACGGGCAAAGACAGAAACATCATTAACGCCGATTCATTTTTTATCACCCAGTCGGAAATAATCGGACTGTTTTACCAGGGTNAACTCTACCTACCAGCCAATCGGAATTTAACGGGCAAAGACAGAAACATCATTAACGCCGATTCATTTTTTGTCATCCAGTCGGAAATAATCGGACTGTTTTACCAGGGTAGTCGAGAATTATTTTAAAGAGCTCATCACGGTCTCAAAAAACATCGAAAGTTTTGGAATCGTCGCAATCTCGAAAGACATTGGATCGGTGCATCACGTCACAATTCCGGGAGGATTTATCTTGCCTGGATCTCGAAATTTTCGGTTTTTTAAGTTCACGAGACGAGACGAGACAGATATCGAGAAAAACATTTGAAAAACAGAAAATACTGAAACTCAGACGTGATGGATTCTTCGAAGTTCGTGACGAGATGCACCGATCCAATGTTAGTCCATACGCAATACCCCCTTCCCGTGTGCACTAAACGGGCGGAAGCATTTCAGGGTGTTTTCTTATGGTTTTTGGGCTGGAAAAACCGAATCTGTCAGTGTTTTTCATCTGAGACCGTGCATCCAAAAGTTATTAACAACTCAATTGTTTAAACCGAGTTTGCTCGAAAACTATTAAAGATACAGAAATGTAGTTCGAACAAAAGATGTTCCTTTTGTAAAACAGAACATATTTTCTGATATCGATTTCTTCCATAGCTAGACTATTTTTCAAGATATTCGGGATTCAAACTCCCTGTGGAAATGCATGGGGCGCAGTACCCCGTGCCCCCCACCCTGCCCCGCGACGCCAAAATAGACGATATTTTTGACTCTCGATATCTCCCTGAATAATTTAAATAAGAAAGAAATACTTAAAAGCAAATATGTTCTATTCAACGAAAGCAATATATTTTATTTGAAGTATTTTTCTTCATTTTTGATCTTTGTCTTGCAAACTCGGTTTAAACAACTGAATTGTTGATAACTTTTGGATGCACGCTCACAGAAGAAAAACACTGACAGATTCGGTCTCTCCAGCCCAAAAAACATAAGGCAACAACTTGAAATGCTTCCGCTCTTTCAGTGCACACGGGAAGGGGGTATTGCGTATGGACTATGTCTTTCGAGATTACGACGATTCCTAAATTTTCGATGTTTTTTTAGACCGTGATGATCTTTCCAAAATAATTCTCGTGTAGTCTCGACGGCATCGCTATTTTCCAAACACTAATTTTAAAAAATTGTTCACGTTACACGTGTAAAAAACTCCTGGTTGGCTGTATCACTGATACAGCCGTAAGTTTTGCGTGGATACATCTATGTTACGTAGATGCTCGGGAAATCAGAAGAGTGATACGAATTAATGTTTCAAACTGAGTTTATTTAGTATAGGTTGATGATAGGAGAAGTATGATACATAACGAAATAATTCGATATTTAAACTANCCGTATCGAAAATCCTCTTTTTATCCGCGAATACTTCCGGGCAAATTCTACTGTATTCACTATTAACTTTCGGGGCACGTGACGACTCACGGGGCAGCTAATGCACGAGTGACGGTCTCTTCTTTTCCTTCGCGATNAATTAATGTTTCAAACTGAGTTTATTTAGTATAGGTTGATGATAGGAGAAGTATGATACATAACGAAATAATTCGATATTTAAACTACGTGTGAAAGTTAAACCGAGATGAGTATTGCCTAGAGTTGTTGGGGGAGTTTGACAACTCTCTAAATTGAACTCTTCTTTCATGAAATTCAATAGAGATTCGTTTCTATAGATATCGGAGTTGAAATCTCCACATAAAATGATTGCAACCTGGAATTTAACAACGCGGGGCCATGATTGAATGCGAAAATAATTAAACAGTCTTAAGGGAACACTTTTTCATGTGTGAGAACTGCGTGAGAATGTTTGTTTACATGTACAGTAGGACTCGCGAGATTGTTCCACTGAGAGGAGTATGGGACAATGAGAGCTCGATGCATAACCTACAATTCCCAATGGAACTCTTTCGCCAGTTCTACTATATCTGTTCTACTCATCACCACGTGAAACGTACTATAAACGTCGTTTCAACCCAAGTCCACGTTTAATGACAGTCGGTAAAGTGAATTCCGTACTTACCAACTTAGTTTCCCTATACGCCAACAGATGGCGTTAGTAAATATCTACCTATGCACAAAATGCCCCTCAAAACCTCAAAACGAAAACATAGACGTATCCACGAAAAAAGGGGGAATAATTAATACGAGTTAATATGAGTGGGGTAATGTTTTTTGGGACAGTCGTGGCACACGCGCAGTTGAGCGATAGACGAGAGGAGTTATACTCGACGAGCTAAGCGGATGCGCTCGGCTGCTGCCTCCTCCGCTTGACTCCTCTCATCTCTTGCTCGGCTACGCGTGTCCTACGACTATAGCTTGTGACGTTTCAATATTTAATTATTATTATCTCCTAAAAGGGGGATTTAGGGCAATTAAATAATGAGGACAAATGAGGGATAAAATTAACTGAATATCTATATTTCTATTAATTTACATGATAGATCGTCGTAAGACGCTTGAAACGCCTTTTACTTGGATCTAGGGTTATGGGTAAGGCCAGGCAACTTTTGTACACGTAAAAAGGGGAGTGACTCTAATGCAGAAAA